CTCTGTGGAGAAATCAGCTGTCAGTTTTGGCCCTACCGTTTCCTCCCCCTGTAGTGGGATTGCACAAAGCACAAGATTTTAGCCCATTCCAGCAGCCTGAAAGGTACAGGCTGATAAACAGAATGGCAGCAGGTGGGTGCATGGGGCAGGCTAGTGCAAGACAGACAAAGGCTATATAGTAGGGAAGAACCTGTGGGGTCTTCAGACTTTCCAGTGAAACACACTGGTCCTTCCAAGGTCACGTTTTTTACCTGACCTATCCAGCTACACTGACTCCACCCACCCTTGTTCCCCGACCCTTTCTTCCACCGACTTTTGAGTCTTCTCTCTTCCCCTCACCTTTCCCTCCCAAAATCTGCTTTACCAGAAAATTCACTACTGCTGACACAACCAAGAACCCTTCAGTTTCCTCTGAGAAAACATAGTGAATCATGCCCCTTTGCTTGTATAGATTAGTTGTTTTGGGGATTCATATGATGAGTAAAAACCTTCAGAGAATGTGTACGCTCTTATGTCCCTAAACTTATTACCAGGCCTTAAATCATTCAAACATTTTTCAGTGAAAGAAGTTGCCAAAAGCTTCACTGTTTTATATTCAGTCATTTTAATAGCAGAGTGCATTGATGCTTTGTATGTGGTAAACAAACAATCCAACTACCACAGAAACTTACCTCAACCCAACAGTGCATGTGGATCAAAAAAAAAAAAGAATACAACACACATTCAAGCTTTATTAGACATATCATTCTAAGCAAAGAGCACAGGAATGTTATCCTACATGCCCATTATCTTAGAGATCATATTAAGCACAAAAACCTTAATGAATTTGTAAGCCATCACTCAATCCCCAAAAATACAAGTAAGTGTAAATGCAAAAAAAACAACAGAAATACTTGGTAAGAACGCTCAGGCTTTTTCCAACTGTTTCTTGTTTCCTCTTGCATAACTGTGGATCATAAAAATGACATGCCTCAAATTCAATCACCCTGTACAGTGTGAGCAAGTATCAGCAATCTATAGTGGACAGTCTCCAGCTGTAGAAACTATTAGAACCTAGCCCTCTACAGTAAAGGTCCAGAGTCTCATCTGCATTATAATACATAGTGCAAAAATACCTTGAAGTGGACACAAAATTAATTCACACTCTCTTTGATTATACTCAAACCAAGAACTGAGTTTATTATGGCCTTAGTGAAAATAAAAATTTATTACGATAAATATATTGTGCCATATTCCAAAGTCCAAATATGGTCCTTTTTTAACAGGTAAAAGGAGCTTTAAATCAGCTGCCAATTAGATCGCCACAAAAATATTAATTTTGACTAAAAGAACTCTGCATCACTGCTTTTGGTCTTTAAATTTTTGTATTTATCAGACCTTCAGGAAGCACACACTTTCAGAAGAGTACAAGATGTGGTCAGTCTTCCACTTTCTGATATTTATGGAAGATCTGTAAGTAGCAATATATTTCTTTGCTTTGACTTTCTCTGCTTATCAAAACTTTTGACATAGATGGAAGCCCATTCTTTAGTCTCAGATATGTTGGAAAATGGGTGGAAATGGAAAAGCAATCCAGAGCACATATAAAAGACCGAGAGCTAAGAACTGCAAAAGTGAATTCTTACCAAAAAAAAAGGGAAACTGGTTGCGCTCCTTCTTTGGGGAACTACTGTTCAGAGTGTTGGACTTCTCATTTGGAGCAGTTGGCAACAAATTGACTAAAAGGAAAAAAAGGTGAAACAGTAAGTGACAGGTTATCTAGACATAGCAAAGTTCTGAAAATAAGCTATGATAGGTACCCATTTGCCTTGCTCCATGCCAGTATTAATACCACTAAAGGGCAGCATTTCTTTAAGTTCCAAAGGCACAGGAAACTGATGTGCTGAGGCAACTTTGGGATGGATTCCTTTTTCTTCTTTAATTTTAATGATGTAAGATTTAAATCAAACATGGTTTGGTAAGGTTATTTTTATATTACTAGCAGACATTCTAACCTTTACAATTATAAGCCTTTTTCAAAATATGTATTACTGACAACAAAATGGCTATGAAGCTAGTTTTGATGTTACTGAATTTACTGTGCTTATGTATTTCAATTAACATACATACCTTCAAATAAATGGGAAAATGAGTGGACGAGCCAAGGACTGTCTGCCTTAAAAAAGGATAACTATGAACAGCAAAAGCAAATTCTTACCAAAAATCCCAGGAAACTGGTTGGGTTCTTCCTCTGGGGAACTACTGTTCCCAGTGTTAGGATGCTCTTCGGCTGGAACAATTGGCAATAAATTTGCTAAAAGAAAAATGAAAGGAAAACAATGAGGAAAAAACCACAAAAACCAATTGGTATCAGTGATTCAATATCACTAAGGTAAAAACTTTGATCTATTTAAACTGTGGCAATGGCCCCTACTTCTCTCTTTCTTCTTGGGTATTCATACAAATTTACATGGAGGTGTTATTTCAGATTAAAGTCAGGGGGAAAAAAGTGTTCTGCAACTTTTAGTCCAGAAGGTAAAAGTGGAATCAGAGCCCAGGAAGAAATGCTTCAGCAAAGGTAGGGGAAAAGCACATGGCTCTATATGTATATCTTTAGAAAAAATCTTATAAAAAGAACCATAGTGAGCCTTTCCTTTTCTAAATGTGAATAAGCTCAAGTTCCCCTTGCCAAAATGACAGAGTATGAAACAGTCCTGGAAAAAGGCCCACTAGAGGCAAGCGAGACAAAAGGGTCTAGAGGCTCTGGGTGGGAAAATGTATTCGTCCTATGAATAAAATGAAGTACTTTGTGAAGGGGAGAGGAGTTATGAAGGTTACTAGATTCTGATATAGAACAATTCATAGGAACTGGTAGGATGAGGAAGTGAATGAATGATCTATGGTCAGTCTGAAGGGCTGTTTTGTAGCTTAAGCTGCACAGCCAAATCTTTCAGAAGTGAAGGACAGGTTTCCCATGATTTTTTGGTGGGAAGCTAGCAATGTACAATAAGGAAACAGTAAAACCAGAAATTCCTGCATTGGCACCTCTTTTCATTACAAGACTTGGTTTGAAAAGAGTATATTCAGATGTATGGGTTAAAAAATATACATTAACATTTTACGATATTACAAAGCCAAGCAGCTGGCAGATTTTAGATTACAGAAAAAGACTTATGTGGCTGTAACCAGAATAGGTCCATTTCTTCATTCCCTATCATTATAATCTCTATTACTGTAAACTCTCTGCCTTCCTCAATTTAGGTACCAATATTTTTACGATATGTTTCAAACCACATTTCCCCAAATTTCTGTCCTAGAAAGTGTATTTATAAAATTTTTCCCTTAATGGCAAGTTTAATGGAGAAATGTGACGCTCTAATGCCGAGGTTCGGCCAGGAAACAGTACTCATTGTGGACCAAATCCCCTCTTCGGTTGAAATTGATGTTACTTTAATTACTTCATCTGTCTGCATTGCTTCTAACATTTTGTTTCAAAGTATAGATCACACACTATTTGTTTCAACTTAGATATAATAAATAGTATGCAGATTTCTGAAAATTAATATAGTGTTCTTTCTTAGGTTTAATATATATTTTGCAGGGGGTTGTAGAATTAACATATATGCAGGCAACTAACTGTCATGAGAAAAGTAAAAAAGTAGGAGGCCTGTAATATTCATTAAAATGAATAGTACCTACCAGTTTTTTTAGTTTATATTTTTCATTTTTGTATTTTTATTTAAAAATATATATAATTAATGTTAATTTCAGATATAAATTATTGCCACCTCAGGGTACCCTAAGTTGCCTATTTTTTCTATGCAAGATACCTTCAAAACACAACATTGTTTATACAAGAATAAAACTAAGAATAATGAGGACAACAGCTTACAGTTGCCTTGGCAGGTAGTCTGGCATTCTTCCAAATTCTTGAAGTTGTTCTGGTTTCCTAGGCACCCACCATACTTGAATACTTCACATATCTTTGTCTCTTTGTTATAGAAATACCTGGAAAAATAGCCTCGGCAGATTCCAGGGTCTTTCTCATGAAAGCAGAAGTCGGGCTTTTCTACGAACAATGGTAAATGATGAACAGGGGTGGAGGAAGAAAAAAAAAAATCAACACACATTCCAAGACAACAATAGAACTGGAGGAAGTTTATAAAATAAACCTGTAACTTTAGACTAAAGACCAACTGTAAAATAACTGCTGCTTCATTGTACTGCTCTTGTTCCATATATAACACTGCAATACTATGCTGGAGCATCATAGGGACGTTTTTATTGCTTTTTTTCCTCTTTTCAAGTAGCCAGTAAATTATTCCTTGGAAAATGAGGATTAATGATTCCTTTAAGTGTCCTCCTACATTGAAGCTCTAAGAAGAAAATTAGTTTTTACTCTGAATTAAAACAAGACTTGAATCCCAGCTGGATCATTCGAGTCTAAGTACACATTCTTGTCATTTATGTAGTCGTTTTAGTCAGTGTTAGTGTGAAATCTACAGAAAGCAATGTTAAAATAGGAGGAAAAAGGAAATAGTTTTTAAAAAAGAACAGAAAAAAAATCTAACAATGCATTTTGTCTGGGACAGTCTACTGCTATAAAAGGATACAGGAAACTGAGGGACAGAGCAGCTATTCTATCGTTTTTCAGTCCCAGTTCCTAGTTTGCAATCAGTAACTACAATATTAACCAAGAAAAAGTTAACAAATGAATACTATATAATTTGACTGAATATCAAGGCATGATATCATGGCTTCTGGCAGAGAAGAAAAACACGTAGCGATACAATAAACCCCAAATGTCAATTTCTCACCATATTCAATTTTTTTCTCAAAATTATATTCTTAAAAGTAAATCATGGAAACAATAATGAAATATATGTGGAGGTATTATGAAATTCTTGCTAGTAGATACTTTGAAATATGATTCTTGACTGTGCTGTCTTGCAGAGAAAAGTGTATTTAGCCATCAAATAAGACAATCATATCAGATGTGACATATAAAGGCCTTCCTTACTCGTGAAACTTAATAGAATATTGAGACTAAAACAGTGTGCAGAGGGCTGTCATTTTAATAAAAATTACTATAGAACAATTACTTTGAAGTCCCTAACATTCTTGGGGTAGATTATGGAGTTGTAAAGAAATTAATCCTATTACATTTATTTTAGCCAAGTATCTATTAAAAATCATTGCTAGAACAAGAATATTATTAAATTCAATTGATGCACATCATACATTTATATAAAACATCATAATAGCTCATAATCAGTGTTTTTCCAAGAAATAATTGTCAATATCTTGTATTTCAATTGTTATAAAGCTTCATGAACAGCAAAATGTCATTTTCAGAGATCACATATAAAAATAAACCATTAAAATGTTCTTGCATAAAGTAACAAAATCAACTATTTTAAGCACTCCTGGATAGCTTAATTTTGATTTTTCACTACAAATTGCATTCTCTGCCAGTAAGTATATGTACAGTTCAGATATTTCACATTTCTTACTATTCAAATGCAGCACCTATTGATGTTCACATAGGCCAACAAATATGAAAGGTATGGGCAAGGCATACGATATGCTTTCAGCTGAGAACGGAAAAGAGACAGTTATATAGACAGGTAGCAGGCAAGAATCTTCCAGAGTAGTATCTATTCCACATACCATCTATTAGGAGCTCACAGACAATAGGAGCTACAGAAACAATTCTTCCATCAAACATTGCATAATATTGTGAAATAAGAGTAAAAGATTATTAGATAGCTATTAACTGAGAAAGGAAGGCAGATAATAATAAGAGTATGTAAAGTAGACTACAGGATTGTGACTGATTCTTAAAAACAGCTGCTCTTCATTTAGAAAATCCTTATATTAAAATGGTTCTTGCAGAAAAAGGAAATTAAGTCCAAATAAATTGAGCTCACAGCTAACTTTTATAGCCACTTTTGAAGAGAGAGGTCATGAAGGCAATATAATCCTAACTATACAAACTATTATTATACTTCTAAATGCCATGTCTTTCTCCAGAGACTCAATATTCAAGACTACATTACTGGAAACAATAGTAAACATGTGATGATGTTGACGATAGCCACAAGCTGAATTTAACAGGGTATGTTCCATTTTGTCATTAAAAGCAGGGAACTAGGGTCAGACCTTAAAGGAAGTAGTGCCAAACGTCTGCAGCATCTGTAGAAAATCAATTTTAGTAACTTCCATAGCATCAAATCACGATTTTTTTTATGCATTAAGAATGGAAAACACAGTAGACAACAGGAAAACAAAACCACCATCTCGGTATGAAAATATTCCAGAATACCATTCTGCAAAGATAAATGATTTAATTAGTCTATTTCAAAATGTGCAAATATTGGTATTTCTGTGAGGAGTTAAATGCACTCCAATTCAAGAGGAAGCAAGCAGAAGGAGGGATAAGGGAAGGAGGGTAAGCAGAGAAAGAGGAGCTGACTTGTGAAGAAATTTACTCAAGTCTGATTTGGGGAACTCTGGCTACCAGCATGGGGCCCAATCCAGATAAGTCTCTAATGTGGAAAGAGAGGTTTGGGTGGAATAAGCCTTCACAAGCTCTATTATAAGCGTCAAACTTAAATATCCTTGTTAGGAACACAGGTTACCTCAATAGACCAACACTGTTTCAGACAAGTGATTCTCAGTGCTCAAGCACTGGCTATTTAGGAAGCCTGGGTATCGGGCATTTAAATTTCTGTAAACAGTCTGCCCCTTCAGGAGGGGGAAATATGCCCCCTTGCTTAATGAGTAATTAGGGGATCTGCCCTAACCCCTGTTAGCTGCTACACAGGCAATGCTTGAAAAGTTCTGTTTCAGAGTGATTTTTTTACTATTTTTGCTAACAGGGGAGGAAGCATTTAGATTATTCTCAGAACACACAGTAAGAATTGCACATCATGGCTAATTATATAATGCTTGAATCTCTGCAGAGGCCTTCTTTTCTCTTTATTGAAGAAAGAGAAAAAAAAAAAAGTCACGCTGTGTTTATTTTGAGGAGAAGAGATTGCAGCTACTATCTTCAGTGACCACAACTGTCCTCAAAGTCTTTGAGGAATACAGAAGAAGATTGGGAATGAGAACTCATTTTAGTCTGACATTCTTGTTTTTATTAGGAGATAGCTTGGAACAATACATAAAGAATTTATCAAAAGAAGCTAAATCCCTTATCATTGTATAACAGTCTTAGATTACTATGTAAACATAATTACCTTTCTTAATTTTTGCTAACATCATCTTCTGAGGCAATTCTGCAATATAAATAAAAAGGAAAGTATTTAATGAAAGCAGGCATGTCAAGTCTCACCTGTGATACCAGGGTGCTTAGCAGTGACTATGAGCACTGAGGAAGAATACAGCACCTCTTCCCCTTCTTTCTTCTCTTTATTAGAGAAGTAGCACAAAAGCTTGTTCTGGAGGACTGAAGTATCATTTCCTTTGGATGAGAAGACCTGCTATATTGGAAACTTGAGGATACGGAAAGCACTGGAATCAAATTATACCAATATTAAATTGAGCAGAGAAATTCCTCTTCATGTTACTGGAAGCAGAATCCTGTACTATGTAATCTTACTCCTCAAAAGAGGAGTAATTCACAGACTTATTTAACCCAACTGCTGTAGCTAGTGATAGTGCTAATAGCTTCGGAGCTGATCTAGTTAGCAATAAAGACCTCTCATGCTATCTAATTTCCTTTGCTATGATATGTAATGTCTGAGTAAAGTGTTCATTATGCTGTTTATGATATTAAAGCCCATTCGGCCAAGTATCTCCAACTATCTTTAGGACAATATAGACGACAAATTTGTTTGCATGGTTCTTTTAGTGCCTGATCAGCAGTGATGACGTTGCTATTGTCATTTTTAATGGAGGAGCCTGGGTTTTATTGTACTTGCTCAAGAAGCTGGATATCTGACTTCAACTCCACATTCCTTTTCAGCGATTGAAAACAAACCTTATTCCCCTTCTAGGAGACTGCCTAATCATAAAACTACAAAGGAGTCCAAGGGGAGACCGGCTCAGCCAATGTGTAATAAAGGCTGAAAAATTTTCGGCAGCTGAGAGAGAGAAAAGTGGCCAAGGATAGCTTATATATTTTCTATTACAGAGATATTTTGCAAGGCACATGAAATAGTAGCTTCTGGATTTCACCTAAGTCATCTTAATTGCATTGCTTCATAATCCTTGTTTTATACTTGTGCTTTTCCTAATGGCATTATAAAATGCTAGTTTCTCTAAAACTCTCCTTTGCCTACTGACCTTTTGCATCTGAGAGAAGGGATAGAGTGGTACAGCTAATGCTTTCCTTGAAGTTGCCTGCTGGAAAGCAAATGCAATTTTATTTTGCATTTTGTTTTGTCAGGCAACCAAACATACTATAATGAAGCAATACATTTGCCTGACCCTGGCCATCTTACGTAGCTACCACAGCCCCCCTTAAGAAGATACCAATTCCCTATAATACATGCCAAGAGAGGCAGTTCTGTAGCAGAAGCATGTTATGACTACTTTCTGCTGCTGATGGTTCTTCCTGCTTTAGTGGATACATGTCTTCCAGAGACCTGCTCATAAAGCCTCAGTGTAACCCATGGTCTAGACTTCTTTGAAACATGAAATGAAAGGGAATTCAAAGGGAAGTATAGATTTTAATCTGAATTTAAATCAGATGCATTAGTCTCATGCCACGTTTCCCAGAAGGCCTCTAAGTCATACACCTAAAGGACATCACCACAGCCTCTCTGTGACTTTGTGTGTGAGATACAGTTGCTCTGCCCAGCTGGTGAGGGTGGGGGATACAGGAGTGCTGTGCCCTATCTCAGCTTGGAGGTACCTACTAGCA